TCAATATTAGAAAAAGAAATGTAAAAGAAATAGTTAATCAGATATCATTTTTTTTTTCAATTATTTACACAAAATGCCATAGAATAATTTCATACACTTCAAAAAAAGACCAATAAACTAAGACTTAAAACTTCGAACAATTTAGTGTTAAAGAGCAGACACTTTATTTATTGTTTGCGAAAGCAATCGGAATACCCAATAAAAGACTGGCGGCTCCAAAAACATTAAAAGCGCGCCGTCTGGGAACCTGAAACTGCAGTATATTTGAAATGTTTACGGGGTTCGATGCATCGAGGGTGGAGGGTTGCTATGGCAACGCGTAGGGTGAAGTAAGGGGATACTCCACGTTGATTCGAATTAGGGTGAGGGTGGGAATTTATTTTGGTTCCCTATTTAGTTGATATTTGAGGGGAGATGAGGTGAACGGCCGTGTTCAATGGTAGGGTTTTGACTACTGTTAAGGTGATGCTACTACCATAAGTTTAGTTAATTGTTACGACTTCTGATTTTAAAATATGCCTATTATTTGGTGTTTAATTGTGAGGTAGTCTTATTAGAACATATGTTTAGAGGGATTGAATTATTTCCATCCTATATATTAATGACATACAATAAAAAACGCAGACATTCAACTGTTTTGGTTTGGGAACTAATCCGAATCTAATTCCGGAAAATAATCCGTATTTGTTACACCAAGATCTATTGAAATAAATGGGACTACGTCAGCTTTCATTCTTTATGACAAATGATATGAATGTTTTGAATAAGCGTCCAAATCGATACATAAACTAGCAATATATCACGGAAAGCCTACCGTTGCAGCGCTAGATTCGTAGATAGTTTGGCAATGCATACATCGACGTAGGGTTGCTATCACCTGAACATCTATACTAATTTTATAAAGAGAAAAGATGTGTGGTTTTGTATTTTTGTATGTATTGAAATAACTTAAAAACTAATCGGCCGATTTCAAACATTCGTTTATCATTAAAAAGCTACATTTTCACTGAGTAACATAGGCTATATTCTATATTATTTTTTAATTGACAATTGGAATTTGATAATTAAAGAGATGAACATATATTATGGAATATTTGGACCTATTTGGACAGGAAATCTATGAGAGAATCCAACAATTGTTTACTTCACAACCCTATACCGTCTAGTATTGTGACGTATACAAACTGCTGGTACGTTGAGGTCGTTATGACGTCATCGATTGTGCATTGCATACGAAACGATGAGGACTAATGAAGATGTTGAACCCTACACTTGATACAAACGTCCTAACGTTTACGTGAGATATATGATAATGATGCACGATTGTATTTTAACTTAAAATAAAAAAAAGAAATCTACCCAGAAACTGAGGACCTGTAATTTAGTGTATTTTTTAATTAATATTAAGATAATGCTAATGCAGCGATATTAGATACCTATTCTTACTACTAAATATAATTACACAATTACATGTTCTAATTCTCTTTTCTCCTGAATTACAAAAAATACAATTTTTTTTTACATTATAATGCTTTTATGAATGTATCGGTAGTGTAAACATCCCGTATTACGATAATTTCTGCAGAATACACAATCCTTTAAAACCAAATAGACGCAGCTTAGTGCATTTCAATCAAGGCATCAGTTGCAAGACCCGTGTCTCTCGTGCACCGCCCGCATCCGATACCGATCTAATTAAGCCTCCATCGATTCTGGATTAATACGGAGACAATAAATTAGTATAGAAGTCTGCTTTGAGTATAATATGAATTTAATGGGATGGAAAAAGTTTGCTCAAAAGGCGATGCTCAAATTGCTATAAGTATGCGTGACCGAAAAATTACGGTTAGAAAAAGGGAACAGGAGGCTAGTGTAGGCAAAACTAGTCCAATAAGCTTGACTTGAGGCTCGTTGTGAGAGGCTCTGTTATATTGGTTATATGTTTAAGAAAATATGGTAAAACTTATACTAAAACATAGAATATTATGCAAAAGAAAATTATGTCACACTTTCATACGTGATATATTTTGTTTTTTTGAGTTTAATTATTCTAAGCAAATAAATTCATGTCAATTTAGGCTTACAATGTTGGCAACATTAATTGTGTAGTCAATATAGTGCCTTGACGTACACAAGGGACGTAAATATATGGTCAAGCGAAGTAATCGATAGCCTCAAGTCATTGAGGGATCCTATAAGATGTATTCTCGAAACATTTTATTCCCTAAATACTATTATAGTCAGCAAATAACGCATTCCTCTCAAATTAGACGTTCAAGTGAAATTTCTTCATGCCATCTTTATTCGCTACCTTATAATGGCTTGCGGGTCCGAGGCTTACCAAACCCCAAAGGTGCTCCTGTGTCGTAAATTAAAGCAGGTGTACAAGGAAAAGTAATAGTTATTACTATGTGTTAAGGTGGAATTTCGTCTGCTTTTAAAACGACCAATTGAAACATGGGAGAGAAGGGTAAAGACGTCTTGGAATTGTGGTCATCCAGTATTGACGTGAAGGTGGAATTAATGTTAAAGGTGGTGTAGGGGAATGTCGATTTAATATTCTTTTATTAAAATAGATGGCGTTAAATAAATATATTAGTGGTCACTATTCAATAGATATTTATTTAGTTAATATTTTGTGATAATTTCAAGATTGTTGACTATAACGGGATAAATGGAGGTAAACTTAAGATTTGGAAAAGTTAAGTAATTGCTAACTCAAAGTAATAATTCCTGAATTAATTAATACAAATATGTAAGTACAGATCAAAGCAACAATTAAGCGAGACGTATAGTTAAACTTTGTTTTACGTCCAATTTACTTTATAAACAATGTTCCAGTAATTTTGCATACTAAATGACTAGTGAAACTATATGAAGTCCTCCATTAGATATTTTAAGAGTTTCATATATCACTGCCACAAATGCGTTTACGTTCAAATATTTTGACAGCATGTAAAGAAATATAAACACTATTGTTAGCAGATAAGGACTACATTTGCGTATCAGTATATGAGATATGTATTCCGTAGATCTAAAAATTACCTACCGGTCTCGAACGTAATATATCAAACACGTGTGGACAATTTTAGTAGTGCATTTCAGAGGAAGACCGTTAGTATATTTGTACAGGGGCCCCTAAGTTGCGGAATATTTTCTTAGAAGATCTTTACGGGTTAATGTTTGAAGTCTCCCAGCATTAAGAAGGAATGTGTCTCGCGATTTTTACCTTAACTAAGCTGCGGTTAAGTTATATTAACGTATATTCTAAATTAAATTACTGGTACCTTATATTAAGGTTTTCAAAATGTTATAAAGCTTTTATAATCAAGGTGCCAAGTTTTAAACTACCAACTATATTATAAACACTTTAAAAGTAAAGAAAAATTACAAAAACCATATAGTTGGTGTTAGCATCGACGCTGCTTTGAACAGGTTAATAAAGCCAAAGGAAGGAAAATAGTTTAATATTTTAGCTTCAACAATTTCATTTTTATAATAAAAGCTGGCAATAAAGAGTGTGACGGCATCGAAGAACGCTTTATTGATTCCCTATACCGTACATATAGGGTTGACAATTTCCTACAACTAGTATGGCGGAAGTAGTTAAATTGTCTCTTTAGTAAAGATCTTTATAATAAATTTACATTAAAGGAGCCTCTCCTTTGGTGACCAATAAACAACTTTACCTACAGCAATAACATAAACGAAATTATTAAAATACTTAATGAGCAAAATAACCAAAACATTGCTAAGAAACTGAGTTGTTCGGTGGAATTGTTATTTTTTATGTTCGTTAATCCAGCGCTTTATTTATTTATTTTGCTTGTGACAACCCTAACCAGTGTCGACACGTGCATTATTCAGACAGCGGCTAACCGCGTTAGCGTTAAAATTCATGAGAACATATCGCCTTTGAACCATTATTGTTTTCTTTAGTTCTTCTACGTGTAAAAAATATACAAATTATCTGAATTAAAAAATAACAGAAACTACATTTAAAGGCTTAATATTATACACAATTAGTTAATATAATATTTGATTTGGAAAATATAGTTAGAAAAGTTCGTAACATGTTGAAAACTGCAATCAATCCTAAAACCAAAAATCCTAATCATTCATGCATGCACACGTATTTCAGTAAACAATACCTTATTACCATAATTTTATTAGTTGGGAGGTTATAAAATTACCAAAGTACATCAGTTGGTACACTTTATGACGTCACGTAATAAGTTAAAGCTACTGCTGGGGTCCTAACGCAAAAAGTATTCCTCGCTCGAGCCTTTGAATAAAGGAAAACTTGATATGAATTTGTAATAAAATTACCCACCCAAAATGTATGCGGAGTGGAGAATGGGAGATTTAGGAAAGTACAGTCAACGAAATGAATATATTACGTACGATACTTATGCAGACGTGCGCGGTACTCCAGTATTCTATACGGACAGTTAGAGGTGTATGTTAAACTTGAATTGTCGTTTTCTTCATATCAGTTTTTTATAAATGGCTTTCCTAAGATAATAAAATGTTCCTTTATTTCGCTTTTACATACTTTATAGTGATCGCGGAGGAGTGGAAATAAATTCTTTCTATAACTCCGTCGATTAAAGATGCAAGGTATCTTTTTAGATGCGGATTTCAGGGCAGTGGAATAATAGCTACTTTGTCGAATTAAAGTTGCCACTTCACGTTTTCCATCGTATGAAAATAAAGCATATTACAGCATGGTGATAACTCATTGCAGACTTCCTAAGGAAGTCTTTTAGTATGAAGAATCTACACTAATGTATACTTTTTTATTTTTAAATCAACATTTACACTCTTGGTCCGTACTCTTTTTTGCACAATTTATATCTTTTTTTTGTGTAATCTTTTACATGAATGACTTCCTTTTTCGTTTTATACACATTTTTTTTCCATTATGTATAATTAAAAATAAAAGTAAGACTGATAGAGTAGTTACATATATCATATACTGTGTTAAAAATACAAGATATAAAAGGTAGACTAAATTTAGTACACGTGGAAATGTTATCAATCGTATTCGAGGACAGATCGCTAATGGATTAGGTACACACTCTTGGCAGTAAATTAAATACTTAAGATTATACATCTTTAATAAACTTTCTTAAGTAAACGTACGAATTTATTTCAAGGACTTTCCGAAGTTTGTTTGAACCCTTAAATATTAAACAAACATTTGACTTAGGAAATATTTATGTAATTGGTAAAATTTAGTCGGTTCATCGACTTCATGTTTTTCTACAAGATCAAAGACACAATAACGATCAGATATAGGAAGAGTGCACGGAACAAGATAATTAAGTATGATGCGACAAAACATTTCGCCGAACCACGTCTATATTTAATGAAAACTTTCCCGCATAATTCCCGAAGGAAGACCGGGCTTAATTTTTACGACTCCCCCAAAATCCCCTCGTAAAGACGCCAAAAAATATTCCCGCAGCCGGCGCCTTATCTTTTAATATTGAATGACAAAATATAAAACTTGTTCAATATACTGTAGAAATGCAAATGTCGGCGCTGGCTGATAAATAATGTAAAGCACGAAGCTTCCGCTGTTACAAATGTCATCTAAAATGTACAGCAAGTTCTAGACCGTTATTTGACAAGAGTTGAAAATGCGGAAGAAATATTAAAGCATCAAATTATCTCCCGTACTCAGACTACTTCTGTGTTCTCAACGAAATAATTGCAATTAGCAATCTATACTTCTATACTATTATAATAAAGCGTAAACACACACTTTTTTGTTGCCTAAGATGTCAGCAATTGCAGCATATTTTTGAAGAATCCTTTTTTAATAAAAAGCCCTACACTTAGGTCACGCTTTAGGCTATATATTTTCACGCCATTAAACTTAGGGGCTAAATATTTTGGATAAAAACCCTAATGTGGAAAAGAGACCATAAGTTGCTGCCAACATCAAGGAAGGATTGCCATAGTAAGTTGATTAATATTTTGACATTTGCAATTAAGAACTTGACAAATCTAAACAATAAAATAATGTTTTTATAATTCTACGCGGATGAAGCCCCACGGGAATAACTAGTTAGTAATAAACAATAAAGTTATGTCGGTGAAGCTCGTTATTTGCAAATAACAGACATCAAAACGGACGCTGTAGTGTCCATTGCAACGTCATGATACGTCACGTCACGTCACGTCACAATACCGCGTACTGCCACCGCAACCGCAGATTCGAGCACGTAGCTCAAACGTGACGTCATTAACAAAACTAAACCGGGATTATGTCGTCAAATGTGACATACGATTTGCACACAGTACAATAATTTGGGAAACAATTATAATATGGTCGTTATTAATCATTCCAATTATCGTAATATCAAATGTCATTGCTATAGTTGGGTTAAATGAGTTGTTAATTTATGTCCTAGCTGTTGCTCGCGACTTCGCTCGCGTGAAAATAAAACCTGGGTAACTGATAACGTAGCTTTATAATGGTGAAAGAATTTAAGAAATTGGTCCAGTAGTTTTTGAGTTATTTCAATACATACAAAAATACAAATCTTTCCTCTTAATAATATTAGTATAGATAAAACTTCTTAAGTGATAAAATTCTAATCGAAATAGACACTCGACGTCTTTCAACATAAAATAAATATTATTTATCGACCGACTTCCCAGAAGAAGGTACTCAATTCGTCTCTATGTTTTTTTTTATGATAAAGGTCTCCAATCCTTTAATATTAATTTCACTTCGAGAGAATCTGTAACGACCGGCGTTAGAGCACGTTAATTGCTGAAACTATTAATTGCCTCCATTAGTAATTTGAGAAACGATTTTCAGTTTGAAATTTACGCCGAATAGTTGATGCCAATGAAACTGGATAAGGAAAATTGGTTATAAATATGTAATAAATTTAACTACATAATAAATTTTACCTTGCACTAAATAATTTAAATGTGCAGATTTTCAGTTACTTACATTTCGCAATACTTACGGACACAGACAGACAGACAAAAAGAATGCGATTTTCGTTATCAGCAATGCAAATACATCATCTACCCGAAATCTGGAATTTTACTTTTGATATTACAAACAGACACTCCAATTTTATTATATGTGTAAATTAAAACATCAATTTTTTTTGCCATCTTATCGCTGTAGAGATTATATCCTATTTACAAAGCTTACATGTTTGTTGATTAAAGTTTACTATAAAATGACAAGCGTTTACAGGTAAGCAAAGCAAAGCGTTTAGCTAAGGTAAAATTATTTAAGCAAACGTCTTATCTTGCTTGACGGAAATTCACGAGATATCGTCTTATTTCCGTCCCAAGAATCTCCATAAAGCTATAAGCAATATAAATTTACCAAGGAAATTTTTCTTATTACATAAAATTCACTGCGTATACTACTTTAAAGGCAGACTCTTTGCCTTTTTGTAAAATTGTAAATTTGAGGATTTCCAGCCCTCGAACGCTTTATTTTTATTTCTGTTTCTTTAAAAAAAAGAAAAGAGACACCAATATCCTTGTACAGTATCGTCAAAGACGATAAATTAATATAACTAACCCCAATACGAAATAAGGTAGGAAAATCATCATTCTCGGAAATCAGCCAATCTGCTAAACACGTTGAATACTCTAAACTTTAATGCAATTAAAAAAATACATGTTAGATATTACATCATTATTCTATCCTGAACGTAGTAATTGACATGTCTCTTAAGGTTTCAGTCACCGCAATCATCAAAGAGATTCTCGCGACGGAAATACTAACGAAGCTTTGATAATTGGATGATAAATATTTATAACTAACTGTTGCTCGCGACTTCTTACGCGTAAAATTAAAAAAAGAATAAAAAAAACAGTGTTACTCACTGATAACGTAGCTTTTTATTGGTGTAAGAATTTTACAAATCAGCCCAGTAGTTTTTGAGTTATACATACAAAGACTGCACAAGCAATCATTGAATGTTATTCAATACTGAAATAGTTTCATTAAGTTTTTTGTTTATAATAATATATGTAAAATTAAAAAGTGATAAATTTACTGTTTTGTAAAATTCATTCGACTTGTTATTTCATATATTTACTTATCAAAAAGGACTTAAAAGTTTACCTTACTTGAGGTTTTCATTGATATTTTTTGTATGATCTTTTAATTTACTGAAAACTTACCTGAAAAAAAAACACGAAGGTTAATATAAATCGAATTTAAACATAAAATTTCCGTTAGAAAAATCTTGAAAAGGTTCATTGTGAGAAAAAGCTCTATATTTTACTGCGTTTTTAAAGCTTTTGAACGGTAGTAAATAAAGTAGACCTGGTGTTGGGTATTAAAAAGGCAAATAAAGATTTTTTACGTCCAATTCATTAGGGTCGTAAAGCTTAGCAATGTCTATTTAAACTTACGTTTTAAGAGACTAACAAAAATTAAGGTCTTAACCTCTTTGAACTTTATCAGCCTTTTATGCCTCATAAGTAAATTTTAATAATTAAAACTCGTATAGCTCTTTATTGTTTCTACTGCTGGGACACAGCTATAAAAATTGCAACTCCATGATTATTTTAAAAGTTTAAGAGTATAATATACTAGCTGGACATAGTCGCGAGCAAAAACTAGTTTAATAAATGTTTAAGTCTAACACAGGATCTCAAAGTTCCTTGTAATCTGATATTTAATTAATCTTTTTTTTTTAATTTAGTGTAACTTTACAAATATTAATTACAACCGTTGACAAGAAAAGAAAATTAAAACATTGAAAGAAAGTGAACGAGATATATTTTTCAATTAGCCAAATTGTCGAATCAAAGAATATTCTGGGCGGTCCCTTCTTCATTAAGAAAATGAAACGGTATTATTTTG